TTCTGCTCCTATGATGCTGCTTGGCCTGCTGTGTTCATCCAGCTCTGCACCTTGATGTCTGGGATTCTCCAGCATCTGCAGTTCCTACTATCTCTAAAGTATGAATTTAGTTTGTCAGCCATTTCTTTGTTCCACATTATAAAATTCCCTGTTTCTGACTGTAAGGGAGCTATGGTTTTTTTTTTACCCATCTTTTCTCTTTACACGCCTTGTTGAAACTTTTATAGTCAGGTCTTATGTTCCCCACAAGCTTACTGTCATACTCTATTTTCCCCTTCTTAATCAAGCCCTTGGTTTTCCTTTGCTGGTTTCTAAACTGTCCCCAGTCCTCAGGTCTGTTGTTTTTCCCTTGCCATTTTGTATGTTTTTTTTTAAAACTCCCCTCTTAAGTTGTGGTTTAGTCAATGTTCTCTTTGTACTTTTGCACCAGACAGGAATAAACAATATTTATGGTTTACCCATTCTCTCTTTGAATGTTTGCCATTGCCTATCCACTGTGTCATTCCTTTCAGTAACATCCCAATCCATCATAGCCAACTCACACCTCATACCATCATCATTACCCTTATTAATACTCAGTACATGGGTCTCAGAATCAACCACTTCCCTCTCCATCTTGATGAAGAGTTCTATCATATAATGGCTGCTCATCTCCAAAGGGTGTCTCTCAACTACATTACCAAATATTCCTTTCTCACTACATCATACTCCGTCTAAGATGGCCTGTTGTCTCGTTGGTTCCTCAACATATTGGTGCAGAAAACCATCCCATATACACTCTAGGAATTCTTCCTCTATGATATTGCGACTGAGTTCATCATCCAATCTATATACAGATTAAAGTCACCCATAATTATACAGATATTCCATTACCGCGCGCATCTCTGATTTCCGGCTTAATGCCATTTCCAACGTTAGCACACATTGGTCGTCTATGATATACGCTCATTAATGATTTTTGTCCCTTGGTATTTCTCACTTTTACCCACACAGATTCTACATTGTCTGAGCTGACATATAAACACAATATTGTGTTTAAATCTTCTTTAACCAGTAATGCAACTCCACTGCCTTTTCCTTTTTGTCTGTCCTTCCCAAATATGTCTTGGTAATCCCAACTATATCATACCTGTTTATATCTACTTTTGTGATAAGTTCATCATTTTATTTCAAATGCTCCATGCATTCAGACACAGAAACTTCAAGCTTATCTTTTAAATGTGCCTTCTCCTATTCTCACCATTTTGTTTTTACTGTGGCCTTGTTTGATTCTGGCCTTTGTTCCCTCTTTGTATCACTTCTCGTATTCCCCTTTCTGTCTTCTGTTCTTGTCCCCTTCCTCTGACTCCTTGCATAGGCTCCCATCCCCCTGCCAACTTAGTTTAAATCCTCCCCAGTCCTCCTAGCAAATACTCCCCCAGGACATCAGTCCCAGCCCTGCCCAGGTATAACATGTCCAGTTTGTACTGGTCCCACCTCTCCACAAATATGCCCCAGGAATCTGAAATCCACCCACAAAAACCAACTCTTTAGCCACATGTTCATCCAATATATCCTGCTATTTCTGCTCTGACTAGCGTGTGACACCCCGGGAGACAAGATGCCATTCTGGGAGTTTGTGGCTGCAGAAATGCCTATTAATTCCCCTGGCAACTTAAGCTCCTCTAACTATTGCATTCCCAAACTTTTTGCTCCTCCGGTGTGCTGCACAGCCAACTGTGGTGTCTTGAATTTGGCTGTTCCTGTTTTCTCCTGAGAGGCTGTTCCCTCCAACAGTATCCAAAGTGATATATCTGTTTTTTATGATAGAGGCTGCAGAGGATTCCTGCAGTGTCTGCCTAGTGCTGTTACTCTGCTGGTGGTCACCCATTCCCTTTCTGCCTGTGGAGTCTTAGCCTTTGGCATGACCACCTCTCTGTTCATGATTCTCTCAACTTCCTGGATGGTCAACAGTGTCTGCAGCTGCTGCTCCAGCTCCAAAACCCAGACTTCCAGGAGCTGCAGCTGGAGACACGAGCTGCACGCATGCTGGTCCCAAGCACTGGAAATGTGCCTGGCTTTCCACATGGAGCAGCAGGAGCACGTTGCGGGCTTAAACTTTCTTTCCATGACTTAACCTCAACCCTTTTGGAACATGAAATAGTGTCAATTTCTCCAGAATCCTTTTTTCCCCTGTTCCTTGTTACTACAGAATGCAGCCCTTAGAAATTATAAACCAATAAAAGACTTCCCAAACTATAAGTGATAAAAGTTGTAAAGATTTACTTGACCTTACCTACTAATTATCAATCAGCTCTCTTCCTTGGGGCTTCTATTCCGCCAGTAGGGTAAGACCACTGGTTTTTCTGTGATGTCATTCATTGTTTTTTCCCATCAAGTAGGACACTCTTCCCAGACAGCGTCCTGGTGAAGCAGACTACAAGGATACCCTTTCTACATTCGGGGATACACCCTGTCTTCTCAAACAGGAGACTGTAACTCTACAGAACTGTCAGATGACAGTTGTCACGACTCACAAGGGTCAACCTGCTATTGCAGATTTATCACAAAAGTTAAAGATTTAATGACAAGTAAATGATTTACCTGATTTTCAGACCTAGGTTGATAGAGAGCACAGATCAGGTTTCTGTACTGAACAAGAATGCCTATTTAATAATATTTATTACAAATAATTCGTCTCTGTACAGGTTAACCATCATAAACTATCAGAGTTTAACACTACTAATTAAAACTGTAATCCCCTTATAATCCCTTTTACTTTTAGAAACAGCTATTTATGATGCTTGCTGTGGCAATCAGGTTACTTTCAAACCAGGCAACTCTACTTTTAAACCACCAGTTAAAACAATTCTTATTTCACTACACAAATTTTAAAGCACACAAAAATGAAAAGACACAGTTGTTGGACAGTGGATTCTTGCCGGCATAGTTTATACTGCCACTAGAAGTCAGTCCAGGAATAAGTTGTCAATGGCACGGTGGCTCAGTGGTTAGCACTGCTGCCTCACAGTTCACAGGACCTGGGTTCGATTCCAGCCTCAGGTGACTGTGTGGAGCTTGCACATTCTCCCCATGTCTGCATGGGTTTTCGCCAGGTGCTCCGGTTTCCTCCCACAGTCCAAAGATGTGCAGGGTAGGTGGATTGGCCATCCTAAATTGTCCATAGTGTTCAGGGATGTGTGGGTTCGGTGCATTAGCTATGGAAAATGCAGGGATAGAGTCGGGGGATGGATCTGGGTGGGATCCTGTTCAGAAGGTCTGTGTGGTGTTATTGGGCCAAATGGCCTGTTTCCACACTATGGGGGTTCTATGATAGGTATGTCTGTCCCATGATGTGACAGAGGGGTGACTTGTTGCAGACATGAGTGAGAGGTACTGGAGAGACATCAGTGCCTGGTCAGAAGAGACCAAAGCCTGCATGGAATCAATGCACAGATTCAGTGGTGTCAAATGGTCTGTCTGCTGTTGATTCTATGTATTGTGCAACTTTATGTTCACCACCCAGCAGTGTGAAGCTGCTGTTAACACTTTGCCTGTGATCTCTGTTTTGTTACTCGGTTTGATGGACTAAAGTCTCATATTGCTCTGTTGCTTGATGCTGCATCATAGCAGATGCTTCCTGTGCTGACTGCTTTGCATTTATTTCAGGCATACACTGCCTATCTTAAGGGCATGCTGAGTTTCGAGCTACAGGATTGGAAAGGTGCTATGCAGGCTCTGCACAAATGCAAGTGAGTGATTTTCATCTTTACAGCAGCACTCCTTTATGTTCACCATCTCAATGTGCACAGTGTGTGGCTCTCTTCTATGCCTTCCATTTCCCTGTCAATAACATGCCATGGTTTTGCTTGTATTGGCTCTGAGTTTGAGGTTTTTTTTCATTTGGTTCTGGGAATGTGGCCAGTGTTGACATTCTGCATTTCTTGCCATCTCTGGTTTCCAGAGATGGTGGTGATGGAATACTGCCTGGTAGCTCTTCAGCCATTATGCCGATGACAATCCACAACAGGGTTAAGTTGGGTATTCAATGAAAGCATGATAAGTGTCCCAGCAGAATTATCTGTAATTTCAAAAAAATGGATTTTCATGTCATTGCTGTTCTTGTTCTCATTTATAAATATTGCAGGGCAGAGAGGTGTTGTCAAAGTCCGCTTACTGAGTCAGTCAGTCATATTACAGCCAGTGTGTTGCAGTGATAGCAGGACTAGGTGCACATCACTTGCAGATGTACCAGTTGAGTGGTGTTAACCTTCTTGGATTGTTATAATAGTACCGTTCTGACTTGAGCCTCATATATTGTGGGGAACATTGAGTGGCTTATCGACTGACCTGACATTGCAGAAGTCAAACCCATACCCCATTCCTGCTGCATTATTGATTAACCTGGTTAGTGGTATGCACATTATATTGATGTTGGGAGAGACAGGGAACTTGTGGAAATTTCGGAGAAGTGTCCAGAACTTCTCTTGAGATGTTTGTTACCTAGTAGTCAGTAATCCAAGCCTCGATGGTAACCAAGTCATTGCATGGCTGTTGAAGATATTTCCCTGAATAATGTAGGCGTTGTCTATTCTAAACAACTTGACCTAACACACTCGATGCCTGGACCAAGATCTGTTGTCTTTGGTAGCAATCGCTTCTTCATTTCAAAGTTTGCATTAATCTGAAGAATGGAGGTGGGTGGGGCAGGATTTCTCGTGAATAATGTTAGAATAGTAAGCGGTTGTAGCATAGAAAGAGACCGTTCAGCATGTTGTATCAATGCCGACCCTTTGAAGGAGCAATTCAGCAAAACCAATCCCCTGCCTTTTCCCCATAGCTCTGCAATTTTTTTACTATTAATAATTCAGTTCCCTTTGAAAACCTTGGTTTACCATACGCCACGCCACTCTCAGACAGTGCATTCCAGTGAAACAGTGAGGAAAGGGGTAGGTGTACACTTGAATCACCTTTTTAGAGGTTTCAGTGGAAGGGATAGTTTCCTGTTTTACTCAGTCTATCTACCGGCAGCAGGTACTGCTAACATCTGCAGATTGATATGTCCTTGATTTACTGTGTTTAGTATAGACAGTTTAATGTGAAACAGGTTTGTTCTGGAGGTAAGGATAGCTGACAAATCTACTCGTTGAGCTACCGAAGCTGAAAATTTGGTTATCCAGCAGATCTGTGGCTAGTGCTGCCTGTTGTTTATTCACAGCGATGGGATTCCATACAATGGTGAGATGAAAAACTAGTACAGTGTAACCATGCTGTACCATTTCATCGTCCATAGAGCTTTTTGATCTGAGTTTTCTCCTCTTGCTCACTGTTTTTCTCAATTTGAACGTGCAAAATAAATCATCAAAACCATTGCATTCAACTGGAATAAAATCTTTCTCAAGCAATGTATGTACATAAGCAATACATCCCATTTGCTTCACCCCACCATTGCTGGTTATGCCTTCAGCCATATAGGCCTTAAGCTCTGGTATTCCCTCTGATCTCTGTGCCTCTCTATCTCCCTCTTATTTAAAAGTATGTTAAAGTCTACCTTCCCGTTGTTTGTGAAACAAGCCACTTTACAAAAGACAGTTCTTACTTTTTCTGTTTAGTCTGGTCACCCAGTATCAGTTTTTGTCTGACTACCCAATTGGAGCATCCTGCAGTGTTTTACCATCTTAGAGCACTGTATTGATGCAGTTTGCTGGTGAAAAGCAATGAGCAGTGTCAAAAGTTGAGTAGTAGTTACGCGGTCTCCCAAGTGACAGTCTGTTATGTCCATCATTAAGCAGGACCAGTTAAATACTTGCATGTCTGCGTGCAGCACTTCTCCAGTGCCAAGCTACATGGAGTTTGGAAGTTTTGACCCTAATTTTCCTTTGTGTTTGACAGGACAATCTATGAAAAGTTAGCTAGCGCATTTACAGATGAACAGGCAGTACTATACCATCAGCGTGTGGAAGAGATCTCACCCAATATACGTTACTGCGACTATAATATAGGTAAGATCATGAACACTTGTGGGATAAATCCAAAGTCCCAGTGATGTCAGAAGATTTCAACTTAACAAGCTGAACTATTCCTAGACTTCCTTTAGGCACGTGTTGATACACCAATCTCTACGGCTTTTCTGAAGCTCTTGTGTTTAGATAAGAGCTCCATGGATCTCCGTAGTAGATATCCAATAACTTGTGCAAGTGGACATTCTTCAGAGGTGGTGCCAGGCAACTCCTGATCAATAATTTTTCCTCTTGCTGTACCTTGCATAAATTTATGAATTTTTCGTGGTTGGTGGAGTGGTTAACAAAGAAACTTCTCTCAATTTTCTCTCTCTCACTCACTCCAAGTCTGTCTCAGACCCTACCCCCATGTCCTGGTTTCTGAGCTGAAGGTCAGATGTAAACATTTTTCTGTGTCAAGTTTGTGGTATCATCATGCCCAAAGTGCAGCAATCTACTTTATGTCATGGTTAAATATGTCCCATAGTCTGAAGTGGGAAATACTCCCCTTGATGCCTAAATTTCATCAAGGAGCGGGAAGAATTCCGCAGCATTTCAGGTGAGTTCAGCAGCAGCATTGCGCTTGTCACTTGAGGCTTTCAGATTCTCACAACTGAACTGATATAAGGTGAAGAGAAATATCACTAGCTGTCTCTCAAAGTGTAACGTCATCGACAAAAGCTCTTTATAAAGCAGGGATACAATCCCCACTCCAGGCAATGACCTTGAAAGCACTTTGTCTCTGTCAGATTATGATGTTGAGACTTATTTCTTCCAGTTTCACAAACTGGGTTTGGATGAGGGCCTTATGAAGGAATGGCTTTGTGTTCTACCTTACTAGGCTTTTGTATTAAATGTTTGGACCCCTTTGGGATTTCTTCACAGTGCCCTGCCCAGTGTCTACACTTCAACTGATGTTAACAAAATAGATTAAAGGAAAATCCTGCAGATGTTGGAAATTTGAGATGTAGATAGAAAGTGCTGGAGAAACTCAGCAAGACAGTTAGCGTGTATGGAAAGATAAACCAGTTCTGAAGAAGAGTCATATCGGATTTGAAATATTAACTTTCCATTTCCGAAGAAGAGTAACATTGGACTCAAAATGTTAATGGGGTTTCTCTTCATGGATGCTGTCAGCCCTTCTGAGTTTCTCTAGAACTCTTGTTTTTATTTAATTACCGTGACCACACTTCCAAACTGATTCAATGGATTTGAACTGACTTGTGATGTCCTGAGAGAGACCTCCATGCAAACTGCTTCCTTTATCTGGTACAAATCCTATACCCTCACAATATAAAATGATACTGTTGCTAGCCATGTGGTCCTTAATGCCAGTTGTTGGTGACTTCAAAATAAATTCAGTCGTTTGAGAGATTAAAATCCCAAGTACTAGAAGTATAGCTGAATTGAGTTATGAGACAGTGCAAGCTAGGAGTACACACTGCTGGCATTTCTTAGGTCAGGCAGCTTCTGTGGAGAGAGAAGCAGAATTAAAGTTTCAGATCATTGACCAGTATTTCCAACATTTTACAAATTTATTTCTGATTTCCAGCATCTACTGTATTTGGCTTTTTGAAGATTTATGAGCTGTACTGGCAGTGAGTGTTCTACTGTCTCTGTTTACATAGTGCTATAACTGCTCATGAATTCACCCTTTCAGCTACCACCATATTTTGCTATTCAAGATACAGCAGCTGCACGGTGGCAGCTTGGTGAGCTTCTTTGGTACTTCTGTCTTTGATCCCCTTGCTCACTGCTTCTCCTGACCCTCCCTTATGCCAGCCTTCTTGCTCAAACATTCCCTCCTTTTTGCCACCCTTCTCACTCAGTGTGGGAGTCGGTGGTTCAGTGTCCTTTAAAACTTACTTTTTGCACCCTGAAACTAGGATCTGTGTGGAGCAATCAGGAACTGAAGTATTGCTTCAGGATGCACCAACTGTCTTACAATACAGCCTGTCTGAAAATAGCAGTGAGTATTAAAGTGCGAAGCCCATATTAATGGAGAAAATGTTTCTCTGTTGACAGGTGACCAGTCTGCAATGAAAGAACTGATTCAGATGCGAATGAAATCGGGAGAGACTGGAGGGTTGCTGGATGTAAGGAGTACTATTTATAATCACTTTGTAATGGAATGGGGTAAATTTCATTGGTTATAATTCCTGCCTTTTCTGATTGATTGCCTCCAGAGTTCATAGTTCAATATCTTTCGTTCCCCAAATGTTTGGGGTGAGAGAAAGAGCGGGGATGTGCAATTGCTTAAACCAGAACTCTTCCTGCGCAGTCTCAAAATGAGGCTAAAGTTTTAGATCTATAGAATTGTGAGCGTATGGATTATCATATGTTGCTGGGGTAGTCCAGCAGAGAAGCTAAACTTGCAGCACGATACCCCGGTCAACAATGAGAACCTTGGGCTGCCACTGTAAACTTGAATTAAGAAACCCACAACTCTAATCAGGACTGTTGCTACCAGTGAGAACCTCTCCTGTGCTTGACATCATTGATTGAAACCATATCTTCACTTTCAACAATCTGGCAGCCCAGTATCACTAATTTTGAGCCTTTGTTTTTTCTAGTGTGCAAAAATTTTATCATCCACCTTCACAGGTAAACAGTTGGCTCATTAACTCATATTGGGTGATTAATCATGTTACTTTGAGATAACAAGGTGTAGAGCTGGATGAACACAGCAGGCCAAGCAGCATCAGAGGAGCAGGAAGGCTGACGTTTCGGCCCTAGACCCTTCTTCAGACATGGGGGAGGGGAAGAGGGTTCTGAAATAAATAGGGAGAGAGGGGGAGGCGGATAGAAGATGGATAGAGAAGAAGATAGGTGGAGAGGAGACAGACAGGTCAAAGAGGCGGGGATGGAGCCAGTAAAGGTGAGTGTAGGTGGGGAAGTAGGGAGGAGAGAGGTCAGTCCAGGGAGGACGGACAGGTCAAGGGG